TTTTTTTATGTACTTTAATTAATAAACGGATAAACGATTATTCTATCCGTTAGTTAATATATAGGTAAAAAAGAAAAAATATAAAAATAATGGGTTATGTCGTATAGTAGTATAGATACCAACAAGCACACATAAATATAGATAAATTTGATCTGACTTTTTTTCTTTATCAAGGTAATCTATATTAATGAAAAGCTTTTTCTTTTATATAAATTTATTTTATCGAAAACTGGAACAAAAATAATTCTATATGTTTTACATTGACTTATTCTTTTTCTATAAAAAAAAACTCTTTGATAACAATCAATGAGAATAAATATTTCGTTACGTATAAGTGCAATAAGAAAAGGTTTCTGTTTTTTTTCTCGAATATATCACATTCATATAAGCATATAATGATGTTAAAATGATTGCTTTAAATCCAGTAAAATATCGGATATATTTTGCATCATATAAATTATTTCCAGCTTTGATATTGCTGATAAAATAAAACAAATTCAGTTGAAATATCCCCTTATAATTAAAAGCGATTACTGTTTTTTAGAACTTATATATTGATGTGTAACTCCATAGTTTTCATTTTCTGTGTAATAACCGTAGTTTCTATGATAGATATGCTTTAAAAAGTTTTGAATTATAATCACAAGTCATTAAAAATGCATGTCGTGTGTTAAATCTTATTAAATACTTTTCAGTTTTCATTGTTTAATCTCATAATTACCATTCATTTTTTTATAATGCTATTCTATTCATATTAGTTCTTTTTATAGGCATCTCTACGAAATTCGTTTCTTTATTTTAATACACTCAGATAAACTTTCTATGTTATTTGATTTATAAGAAAGTGAATTTCTTTTTATTCAGAATTGTTTTTCGTAGTTTATCCGACTTGAATAGAATAATTTGTGATATCATTTTTTTGATGATCTATTTTTTGTCGATATTAAATTGTAAATATTTCATACATTTATTAAAGATATATAATCGAAATATAAAGTTAAAATTATTCTTTAGATTATATTTTAAATATTTTCACCTTTAAAATATAAAATAAATAAATGGCTACTATAATGATACAAATATATAGATGAAGCAATAATAATCATTGTTAAATTAAATGTCATAAATAATTCACACATTCCTGCAGGATGAAAACACATAAATATATTGACTTGATTCATTTTTGAATTATTCTTATAAACTTTATAAAATTATTTTCATTCAGTAAAAGTAGGAGACATTCCATTTGTTCGATTTAATATTTTCAACTTTTTTGTACATGCATCAGTGAATCCGCAAGCACCTGATAAATATTTGTCGATAAATCCAATATCAAATAATGCAAGTCGATGTTTAATATCTCTTATTAGACTAAAATTAAACAAAAAAATATATATAAAATAGAAACAATTTTAGATAACAAACAAATGAGAATATTTACTAATAGATCTTCCAGAATCGAAAAATAAAAATAGTTTTTTAATTTTCTTGCGACAGGTAAAACTTTATTAGAATAAAATAAATAGGAAATATTTTAATAGAGTTTTATTCAATTTTTATTTATTTGTATAAAAAATTCTTTCGTAATCTCACTATTCAAGTCAAGATGCTTTATTACTTAAAGCATCGTATTTTTATTTATACTCTCTACTGGAAATTGTTTAGTTGCCAAAACATATTTCAAAAGATACAGTTGATATAATTTTAGAATAAAACAATACAGTAATATAGTATAATTACATTAAATTTCTATTGTAAAAATAAGAAAAAGAAAAGATGAGTTGAAATTATGAGTCACAAAAACAAATTCTTTGACTTTTTCTTTTCAAAATTAATAATTATGTCAACAAGAATCACTATAATTTCATTATTTTGGATGATATTTTATAGAATATAGCACCATTTTTCTCAATATAATCGTAAAGAAAAAAAGTGTTCTCTCGATCGAATGAGATTCGATTGAAAATATTCGAACAATATTGTAAAAATTTCGAGAGTATTGACTTTTGTTTGTACGATAAATAAAAAGTTAAAAATCATATAGAACTTTTTAATAAATTTATTTTTATGTTAGAAATTCTTTTTTAAAGCAATATGATAATATTTTGTTTATTTAATTCTGATTAACAAAATACAGAAAAAAACATTTTTCTTTTATATTTTATCAAAATATATCTTCGTCCTAAAAAATATATGAACACATTCGAGGTAATTCACTTTTCATACGAGAATTAATCAAGATATTCAATCACGCAGACAACAAACTTCTAATAAATCTACTTACTCATTTTCTTTTCTGTTCTATCGATTTTTCTTCGTTCTCTTTTAACCTTCGAATAAGATAGTGAATCGAATCTCGTGTCTACCTCAATAACGACTCAAGTTGCTTTTTCGTTCTCTAATGTACAGTATACAATATGTGAGAGGTAACAGAACGAAATATTCACATTTTTGTCTCGTATTCATATCTCTTCAGCTCTTTCTCGTGTAAAATCAATCAAAATTTTTTAATAGTTGACATGTCGCCAAAAGAAGTCAATAGAGAAGACAACGCTGACTCATCAAATGAAATGAATTCTTCGAAGCCCCAAGTTCCTACAAAGAAAAACGACTGACGATAAGTTCAATCGTGAATAACTATATAATATATAAGGAAGCCTATGCAATAGACAACAATTAACAAGTCAAACAAACAGAAACTCGTTGATCACAAACTCAAAGAAATAGAAGGATCTGCGTACGAAATTCGCAGACGTTGCACAGGTTGCTATGAGACAGAAAAGGAATAAAAATTAATGAAAACGAGTCATATAGTAGCGAAGAAATTAAAAACTTTCTAATCTGACTTTGATAAATCTTTTTGTCTTGAATATTTTAACAAGAAACATCATGTTATGGAATAGAAGACTCAAAAATACTGAATACAGAGTAGATGACACATTATATATAATCTGCTATCTAAGAAAAAAGTGAAAGAAAGTGTTTTTATATATAGTTCGAATTTGTTAAAAAATTTCTATTTTGAATTCTTCGATAATATAACATTTTGATTAAAATATATTATATACAATAAATTAATTCTCAATTTTATTTAAAATAAAAGAGAAAATGGATTAATACTAATCTAGTTAATATAAGAGAATCTATTCATTTAGTTACGTTTTTTTCATGAATTTTCGAATTAAAAAAATCGACTATTTGTGTAAAAATATTTTTAATGAAAATTTTCAAATTGAAGAAAGAAATAATTTATTAAAAACTTACATAAATTAGCGGAGATATTTCTAATATATATTTTATTCATTATTTGAAGAACTGTCATAATCATAGAGAATATAATTAAATTATTTCACTTTTTCCACCAAAATATAAAGAAAATATTGTTGAAAAGCTTTTAGTAAGACCTTCTCTTTTACATTTAACATAACATTGAACAAAATATTCTACAATAAAATTCAATTGATTTTTTCAAAGAAATAAAATAATGTAATATAGAAAAAGTTCAACATTTTTTAAAACAAAATCACTCAACCGTTTCCACGTGGGTGTGGGTGCATATGGGTGGATGTGAGTGTGTCTGAGATAAGAGCAATATCCACCTTACAATCACACCTACATCCTCAGGTTTTGACGAATGATACATGTGACGATATTCCACTTTCAAGATTTTGAACCAGTGCTTATGTAGTTCATGGTACCATAGTCACTAATGAACGGTGCAAAAACATTTTACTTTCATTCTCATGTTGCGAATAAAATATTTTATAGATTTTATTTTTTTATCTGTTAGAAGGAACATAATCTAAAGTACATAGATTAGAGAGAAATGGTGCAATTGCGTCTCAATTCTCTAATAAATACTTTGAAGAAATGAATAGCTTAGTATTTTGCGTATAGTTTAATTGTTCATTTGAACTTATTGAACTGGTTCTTTTAGGAGAAGATGATCAATAAAATCCTCTAGAAAATAGTATGATTAACTGAAATAAAATTAATGCAAAACTTTTGCACTATCCATTCATTATGGATTTTGTAGAATTACATCTAGAAAATACTACATTCTTAGCGAAATGGATTTTGAGAATACAACAAATTTTTCAATAAATAGATGTCAAACTTATTCAACAGATTTAACATTATAATAAAGTAGAGATAAAAAGAAAAAAAAGCAGATATTTATATCGCTATAATAATCTTGTTAATGTATGTTCAACTAATAAAAAACAAATTGTGATTAAACTATATTTTATATTATCCGAATAAAGTATACTCTATAAAGATTCTCGCTTTTTTATAGGATATAATAATAAAAGGATGATTGAATTGAAGAAACAGTTTGAAAATATTCCTTTAATTAATTTTGTTTGTTTTATTTTATTACAAAAGTGACAGATTCCATATTGGTTTTATAAATTAAACACAAATTACAATCAAAAAAATGTTTCCCAATCTCTTTAGTTTTTTTTAAAGTAAACAATACAATTATTATTGTTCTCTTTTCATGATATAACATTGAGATTATTCAGTGAACAAAGGTTTTAAAAAAATATAAATCTATGATGTCTTTTTTTATACTCTTTTATCTTCCGAAAAGAAAGAAGAGAAAATAATTATATGAATACTTTCAAAATAGTTGTTACTCATTAATATCGTGCGCATGACCTATTCATTAAATAAAATAATAGAATACTTTGAGTACTTTTTGAATAAGTTTTTCAATCGTTCAATGCTATTACAATCAGATTTTCATCGTTAGATAAGTGCAACGAAAGTTTCTGTTACTATTTCAAAACATTCAATTGTAGATACTCTTATATGATAGATTTCGACTTAAATTGGTTCACAATAAATGAAAGGATGCCTTTTTACGGCTTTGATCATAGCGCTTAGATATTAATATTACTGCGCATTAATACTTTGAAAGATTTAATGTCACAGTGTACTGAAAATATGTTTTTCTCTTTATCAGAGCATCAATGATTCTTGACAATAGTTTGAATATGACAACTATTGAATCATGGTTTATTCCTATTGATATTCTCAAGATTATTTTTGCAGGCACTGCTATTATACTTAGTCTGATCTTTTTATTTATTATTATTATTGATAAAACATGTCATACAGTTCCAATGATGCTCATTGCAAATTCATGTTTAGTTCAATCTGTATTTGCACTTAATATGTTTGGTACGAGTTTATTTACACTTCAAAATGATCTCAAACAAATTCAATTCTATAATTCATTTTGTATTTTTCAAGGTTACATCACTTATATGATACAAGGAATACAAATGAATTCATATTTATTACAATCTATCTATTGCTATATCACTGTTGTTTATCCATTTCGTTTATACTGGCAATCAGCAAGATTTCAAATTTATCTTATTTGCTTAACATGGATTTGTGGTATTATCTATCCTATTCCATTAGTATTTACCAATCAAATTATTTATCATGTTGATGATCAGATATGTCAAATGCCTCTTAATCTTTCCTTCATAACTATTTTCAATGCATCTTATAATTATTTTATTCCTTTGAGCTTAATTACATTGGTTTATTTCAAAATAGTTCGATATGTTAAAAAGATGAATAAACGTGTTACTCCAGCGAATACAATGATTCGTATAGAACGAGAATTTCGAATGATTCGTCGTATTCTTTCTCTTGTATTTATTTTAGTAATACTTGGTTTTCCATATGCATTATTCATTTTAATGTCATTTTTTCATGCTACACCAAAATATCCTTTTCGAATTGCATATATATTTGTGAATGCATCGTTGACACTTGTGATGATTGCTCTATTTGAAATTTCAGAACCATTGAAAATGTCTATAATGAAAAGAATACACAAGGAACCGGCTAGAATAATACCAACCGTAGCATAAATGGTTAAAATCATTTAAAAATATCGGACAAAAAATCTGTAAATTTGTTTGATGTTGTATTATGTTTAAATGATGAAAACATTAATTAATATATTAGTTATAAATTTAAAATAAAGGGTGAGCCAAAAGTCTTGGTACTCGAGATGTATCAATAAAAACTGTATAATCTTCAAAACAACGCTCAATTTTCATTGTATTGCCGAGAAGTCTTTAAATAGAATTTTACGTTTTCTGTCAACGAGAAAGGATAATTATTGAGTGAGCTTTGCTTTGAAGATTATAGAGTTTTTCACGGTTCATCTTGTGATGTATTTAGGTTTCCTTTTTGATGTGATAATAAGCGCAAAATACTACAATTTATCATGAAGCTCCCAATTACTTTATCACGTCATCCGCGAAAAAAATCTTTTCAGAATTCTAGGTTATTTATCTAGTAGAGAGAGACTTTGAGCATTTTCTTGTTTATAACACAAAAGGTATAAAAAAAATTTCGTCGAGCGCCAGGACTTTTGGCTCAGTCTTTAATAGCATTTTCCCGTCCACTTCAAGAGAAAAACTTCTCGACTATTTCATTGTTTAAAATGCTGAAGAATTTCCAAAATCTTAAACAAATCAGCCATAGACAGTATGATATAATTAAGAATTAACTGTATATGAACAACCCTATACAAATAATTCTCTATTGATAAAAACTCTGTAGAGAACTTTTAAATTTTAGAAAGAAATATGTTGAATGAATATTTTACATAAAATAGTTTCTAGACAATTTTCACTGATTGTGAATTATTAAAATAAAACAGAATGAATTATATTCTACAAAATAGCAATATCTTTAAGGAAATATATTTTTATTGCTATAAATAGTCATTTTATTTCTCAGAACTATAATCGATTCAAATAAAGTATTCATAGTGATGCTATTAAAAAATATATTTAATGTAATATGAATGTTATTCAATCATTTATAATTATTCTTTCTCATTTCATATATTCATTCAATTTACTACTTTCTAAAACAAAGTGAACATTTTATCATTGGAATAACGTTTCATGTGGTTTTTAATATCTTCAAAATTTATGAAATAGAAAAAAGAAACGAAATTCTTTTGATTGATCTGAGCAATAACAATGAGTGTAATGACGAAACGTATTGGAAAAATATATGAATCAAGATCTAAATTTAATTCTTTTGTGGGTTTTTTCCAACTTAAAAAGGGAAAGAAAGAAATAATGTTATCTTTTATCGAAAATAATAACACGTGTTAAGCACGAATACATATTTTCTTTTATCTTTCTTCCAAAAAGAAAATGATAGAACAACGAATAATAAATAAAAAATAGTGAATAATCCATGTTCGTTTGTATATATATATATATCGAATAGAAGAAAAGAAATCCAACTTCGTCACACCATTACAGTCAGCCGATTTTGTATACTTAAGAAAACTTTTACAATTTATATTTACTAGTTGACATAAATATGAATCAAATCAAACGACAACTAAGTTCGAGTCAATCGATCGATGAGGAAACGAAAAAGCCGCGAAGTAAATTAGAATTATATTAGAGTATAATTTTTTATTTTCGTTTTCTCTCTTTAGCAACATTGAGCGACGAAAGGTATCAATAAACGCATTTGTTTAAATGTATAATATTCTTTTTTAGTACATCGTACACCCGTTTAGAAAATTTATCGAATGAACTTTTGTGCGAAATATTCGAATATCTTGATGCTTATGATGTATATAAATCATTTTCAAATCTTAATATTCATTTAAAAAAACCTTATCGTATTGTTTCACTTCATGTGGCTGATTATTCGAATGAGCAATTATTGATTGATGCATTCTTTAATCATTGTATTATTAATTCATCATTTCATCGTCTCGAATCAATTATTCTCAAAAGAATCGAAAAAGAGAAACTTCTCACGACACTTTTTTATTTTAATTCTTTACCTCGTCTCTTTTCACTAGTCATTCTTATCAAGGATAATGATTATTGTGATCTTGGGAATATTTATCCATTAATTTTTTCTTTATCTTCATTAAGATATAACAAACTAATAACATCTTCTGATCAGTTAGCAATTACTAAATACTCTACTTCATTACACACCACAACTTCGTCATCTGTCTTGTCATCAAGTGAATGAATCAGATAAAAAATTCAAACCCGATCTATCAATGAACTTACCACATTTAAAATCCATTTATTTTGTAGAATTTTCTGGTTCGTTTGATGAACTTGAAGCGTTTATTAAGGAAATATGTTCTCAATTACAAATGCTCAACATTGGTGTATGTTATGATAAAGCTTATCTTAATGGTAATCGTTGGGAACGATTAATTAAAGAATATATGCCGCAATTAGAAAAATTCTACTTTAATTTTACGCCAAGTTCTGATGATGATAGGAAGACAAATTCAAGTTATTCAAGTGATGGATTCATTCATCAATTTAATTCACCATTTTGGCTTGAGCGAAAATTATTTCGTGAGCTAGAAGTAAATTCTATAACATCGACTTTTTCAATTCGTTCATATAGGTATATCCAGAAAAATCTTTGTTAAAATGATTTTATATATCTTTTTGTTTTTTCTTTATCAGAAAAGAATATAATTATATTTTTAATCGAGAAAAAACTGACCATGGTATTATACAATTGACTATTGGGAATAACGAATATACCAAACTTGATAGGCCATATATTAAGAAATTAAAATCTGCTGTTAAAGCGATTCAATTTACTCATTTAGATATAGATAATGATAACTTGACTGTTAAGATGTTACTCGATATTCTACATATGTTGCCAAATATTGAATCATTAAAACTGTCATCTATACCAATATTTCCGTTGGAATCTTTATCTATTGAAGATATCAAAAATAATCTATCAGTATCGGCTATTAACAAAATAACACAAGTTAAACTTGGTCAAGTTACAGAAGACGACGAAGAAGAAATTGAATTTTTTATCAATCTTTGTCCACATATAGAATATCTTGAAGTAGAATGTATGTCAGATACAGATGTCTCATTGCTTCTGAAATTCGTTATGACTCAAAGGACACATATTCCTAAACTCTGCTGTCTGTGCTTCATTAATCCTATAGCAGATGACAACATGGTTAGAAGTTTAGCAGAGGCAATCGTTTTCGATATAGTTATTGATAACTATACAATTCAGCGTAGTGGCAACAAAATAAGTGTGCATTGGAAATTATAAGAAATTATATATCATGAAAATTGACTTGTTTTTTCATCTTTCTTATTTCATAAATAAAAATAGTACGATAAGTACACAAAATTAGTTAGAATCAGTTAATGTAATACATACCTCCCCATCCCTTCTAGACCTTCTCCTGGAGTTAGGGAAGTATCATAGAAAGTTTGATGAGACTAGCTATTACAGAGACTGAACGCATGTATGTATGTAATTCATTTTATTGAGTAGTTTAAATAATTTAAAAGTTGCTATTGATTACACGTAAATAGAATAATAAATTATTAGCGTCTTAATACATGCAAAATTGTGAAGTTGTATTGAAACGAAGTCCTTTGGGACATGATTTTCGTTCGATGCGGAATGCTATGAATAAGAAACAAAATGAATAAATTATATAAAACTTCAAATTATGTATAAATTCTTACATCCAGATACTATTTTACAATCAAAATATTTTCCTTGTTCATGCATATCAGTATCAAGAAAACTACCAGCTGTGGGACAAGAAAAATAATCTGTAACAAACAAAAATGATTTTATATGTATTAAACATCAACATAAACACATACTAGTTTCGCATTTAGCACCCCTATAACCTGGTGCACATTGACAATAAGCAAAACGTGTTGAACCAATAACATTTTCTCTACAAGCTCCTCCATTGAAACATGAGCTTGCCGAACAAAAACCCAAAGTACCTATTGTAAAATTATAATTTAAGAGTAAAATAGCGAAAAAATGTTTACCATTTAATTCACAATAATCTCCCCAGGTACCATATTGACAACGACAAACACATTCATATGGTCCATTTGGATTTTGAATAGCATAAACACCGTTATTTTTACATCGAACTTTTTCACATAAGTTATAATCTGAATAATAAATAGTAGAAAACAAGAGAGATGACTAACATGATAATTATATTAGTAAAAATAAAGAATATTACCATTTTTGTCTTGACAGATTGCTCCGCTATAACCAGATGGACAATGACAAATACCACCGGTAGAAACACCACCATTCAAACATGGTGATGGAGTTGAAGGATTTGTTATTGACGAGCATGTCAATGGATGAGTTGTGTCTATACGAAGAAAAAATAGCGATAATTAAAATTAATATTTGTAGAAAAGAAGTTTTTGTCTATTACTGACCACAATCACCATCTGTTGTTAGTGCTGTACCGTCTGTGGTGTTAGCTGTGCACAGACATGCATAGGATGTCCCACAGTCATTAGTTTCAAGACATGCTAGTAGCTTTCCATTGGTATTTCGGCAGATATTGTTTGCAGGGTTTTGTCGGTTACAAAGACCTTTAAATATAAGTAAGTTTCTTTTAATGTTTATTTTATTGTATTATTCTCATACGACAAGGTTGATTAATCTCGTATGCACCACCAGGACATGTACATACAACATTACTGCCACCCAAATCGAGACAACGATAACCATTTGTCTCACTGAAATAAGGACCTAAATCGCATACGTTAGCACTGCAACCTAAAAGAAAATATATCAACAAAAATGTATCTATACATATATATATCACTTGTTTTTACCTTGTGCTGATGCATATGAAAATACGAGGCAAATAACAATAACAATAATAAATGTCTTCATTCTTGTCCGAGTTTTGAAAATGTGAATGATTTTTAGACTCAGCACGAGTGTTTTTATATCGAAATATATACAAATCACTTCCTTTTTTTTAATAACATATATATATCCAATGTAAATTGTTTTTGATTAGATATTTTATTTCTAATACGCTATTTATTTTTCGCATACACATTGGTAAATAATATTTGGTAATTTGAAACTCATAGCAAATAACATAGAAAATATACGTCCCATAAATGTTTCATCTTTAATTATAAATGTCATATTTGATATAGATATTTTAATACTTAAATAAATATAAGAAAAGAACAATGCTAAATAAAAATATTGTGAATTTAATTGACTTTTATCTCCTTGATACTACTATTATAATGCAGATATATTGTCTTATTTGATTAATACACTGCTTGCATCAATTAATACATAGATAAAAGCGGAAATATATTCAAATTGTAGTTGTCTTATTAGAAATTTAATTCCATTTTTAACTTGAATTATGGGTAAGACAGTTTTTATATTTCACAACTGGAATTTTGTAGTAAATGAAATAGTTACTTTATGTCATAATCATATGTATGAATATATTATTTTTATTGATGACTTAAAGAAAGAATAAATGTGATGTTGTTTAACAAAATGACAAATTTTTTATTGTTGAGAATTAATAGAACGTTACGAAAGTAGATAAAGAAAAGCTTCTGTTACAAATCTCTATCTAGAAGGTGATCCAAAAGTCTTTGGTACTCGACGGAGAATATTTTATATCTTTTTTATTCTAGACAAGAAAATGTTCAAAGTCTGGGATATAATATCTTCCTACTAGATAAATATCATCATAAACTATAAGGCAGATACATAACCTAGAATTTTGAGAAGATTTTTTTCGTGCAGTATTTTGAGCTTATTGTTGCATTAAAAAGGAAAACAAAATACATCATATGATGCACTGTGAAAAACTGTAATCTTCAAAACAAAGCTTACTTAATAATATCCTTTTCCATCCTGAGGATGTGGGTGTGTATTCTTCTCATTCATTACCTACATCCACACCCCATCCATTCATTACATAATCAAATGGAACGTTCATATAATGCGGATCTTCTCGACGAAATGTAACAGCTATGTATTTTGACTTTTGTGATAAATCAAAATAAATAACATCTTAATATAGTGATAAATTCTTTGAAAAATCAAAGTTTGCTGATTTTGAATTATTTTATAAAGATAAATATTTTATTCAAATTAGTTAACAATGTTTTGTATATAATGAAGGATGTGAGAATACACGCACATGAACAAAGATGTGGAAAGTATAGTCATTTTTCATCCACACTCACACCCTTTTTATATATATGATGAGTTTTTATTCTAAAACAAATCGAAATACTCAAAGAAGGAAACTTTTCTCAAAATACTTATTGTGCATAGAGAAATAAATAACGTGATTAAAAGTGAATCCTGGCAAAGAAGATTATTTAACAGAGCCGGACAAAATAATATTAAAGTATTCATGACTTATTCATTGACATCTATCATTTATTGACAATGATAGTTGATATCTTATTTTGAGTTAAAGCACGTCCGATAATTGATGCAGATTTTGATCAATCCTCTTTTTCTCTTTATCACGTTCTTCTTTCTCACTAAAATCTTTTGATTATCTATAAAATCAAAAAAAAAAGAAAAAGATCATGTCGAATTTAAATTCCATTCTCTGTTTTGGAGTTTCGAAAATAAGAAAACTCAATGAAAAATATCAAATTAGATCATCCGTTTTGTTCATTAATTCAATCTAAAATCAGTTTTTATCTTATCTACGACGAAACCTTCTCCAGAACACTATTTTTTCTCTTTGTCTTCTGTTGGAGAAAATGAATGAGAGAGAAAAAGAGAGATATATAACTAGAGAGAATATCTATAACCAGCGTCATTTTATTTTCATCGAAGACAAAGAAGAAGAAGATTATTTTATTAGTGAACTAATTTATCAAAAGAAATCCTGTTGAATGATGTGGAATATGAACACATTCATCATTATTCTTCTGTTCATTTTCAATAATGAAACATCAGGTAAATACTTGTATTGATCACATACTGAAGATCAGCTGTTGCTCAAACATGACATTATTTGTTAGAGTTAGAATTGAACAAAAAGGAGTGAAATAGCAGATTATAGAATTTGACATAAATATCTATTATATATTCAAAAGTGATGGTTCTGATCTCATGCAGTGGTTATGCGAGACATTTTTGTGGTTTGAAGAATGAGTGTCCTCTAAGTTTGAACATATAAGTTAGAATACTAATTGATAGTATTGTACATATCTGAGTTTGTATTGATTCATAGTTTCAAAAGATTGAAAACTTGAACCTTAGTGAAAGCTTCTCTCGATATCAAATTTATTTGTAGATCTTGAGACGAGAATGGGGCATAAGAGAAAAGAAAGAAATCTATTTCATCATATCGCATTGTAATATATGGAAAGAAGAATTGATTGACGTTTTCAGATGAAATCAAAATGCAAGAAAGGAAAGATGAACAGGTTAATGTAACTGAAAACAAAGTTTTGCGAAGTTAATTTGACAATTTTGATTTGAGATAAGATGTAAATTTATTTATTCCATACAGATCATTACCTTCATTATATAAAAAATACTATGACTGTGATAAAATAATTATATTGTGTATGATGTACTTAAAGAGTTTTATGTATAAAAATAGAAGTGAGAAGTATGAAGTCAGTTGATCATACACTTCTATACATTATTTACTGTTATAGAAAACGAAAATGATTTAAAACTTTTGAACTATATAGAAGAAAAGAATCTTTTCTTAGAAAATATGAAATTATCTGGTGGAAATGAATTTAATTGTTCAATGAAATAATAAATATTGTTCATCGACAGTTTAGAGACAAGACTACCTGTGATAAAATATTAACTTTTAAGCGATAGAAATAATACATCTGCTAGAAAGAAAGAAAGAGCACAAATCATATGATAATGTAGAACTGCTTTGCAAGTGCAAATTGATAATTGACACTACCATTTTTATCACTAGACAATCATAAAAGAATATTGTTAAGTAAGACAACATTTAAATCAAAGGTCAAGTACATATAAGCTTTTTCTCATGTTTAAAAGAACTCGATGATTACTGAAATTGTTTTCTCAAAATATTCAAGTTGAAATAATGAGAGGAAACGTTTGATTAAATTTAATTATTATTTGACAAAAAAGTTAAAGAAAATTGTTTTTGTTCAATATAAGTTTCGCTAAGATCGATTTCAAATTTGTTTTTGTTTAACTTGATGAGAATTTCAAATGAAACAAAAATATATTATTGATAAGAAAAAAAAATATTTTTATTTTATTTTTATCTCGAAATATTTTTGTCAAATAATTTCTTTGGATAGCTATTTAACAAAAGATTAACAAGAGAATTTTATCCTCTCTTTCACATATTAAATTCAACTCAAATGATTTAACATCAATAAATTCATAATAGTTTCCATACGAAAATGAGAATTAATTCTGAATCTCAATAAAGTCATTCTCTTTAAAAACAATTTTTCCTCCTACGAATTCATTTTCGTTGAACAAATAAAGAAAACTATTTGATTATTTTCTGTCTTCAGTCATAATCATATCTTTTCAAAGATCGAATACAAATATTCTTTTTTTACAACAAAAAAATCAATAAATAAAGTTGATCTTCTTCGATAAATTCAACCCGCTCTGATTTGATATTAACAAATCATCCGAGAAAACAGAGCAACAATCATAGAAATGTTTTCAACATTAATCTGACCGATTTTTTTGAAGAAAACATAAATTACTAATTCCATTTCTTTTACAGTTCTTCTCTAATATTTTTTATATTTTTCTTCTTTTTAGCTCTTTCATTCAATCAACCAAAGTTCTCTCCAACACCCATTTGGAATTCCAATGGAATTACTTTTGCTAATCGATCGATTGTTGGACGAAATCCTCTCGCCATTTTTGTGAGCAGAAACAATACAATCTATGTTGCTAACAAAGAAAATAACACAATTCTAATGTGGCATGAAGGGAGTGGGAATCCAACAAAGATTACTCACGGTGATTTTATAGAACCCACTTCTCTCTTCGTGACATCAAATGGTGACATTTATATTGATGATGGATATGAGAATGGTCGAGTGCAAAAATGGATCGTAGAAACAAATATCTTTATCACAGTGATGAATGTGGACTCATCATGTCTTGATTTGTTTGTCGATATCAATCATAGTCTTTACTGTTCAATGCCTGATCATCATCAAGTAGTGAAAAGATCATTGCATGATGCTGTGATGAACTCGAATCGTGTTGCTGCTGGAACAGGTATTCAAGGATCGGACTCGAACCAACTAAAAAATCCTCTTGGAATCTTTGTCGATATGAATTTTGATTTATATGTGGCAGATTGTAACAATGATCGAGTTCAGTTGTTTCAGTCAGGAAAATTGAATGGTATTACGGTGGCTGGAAGTAGGTCACCGAATTCAACAATAAG